TGAGGGCAATGAATGTACAAATGTGTTTTACACAATTGATGTATGTATGGATTGTGATGAGTTGTATGATCCCCTAATAAAATGATTTTTTTAAAAGAAAAGAAAACTGGCAAACCAACAAAGTAAAATAAGAAGATGCAAATAATGAAATGGCAACAATGCAGACCACTCTTTCTCAACCTGTGGGTCACAACCCCTTTGGAGATCGAACAACCCTTTCACAGGGGTCACCTAAGACCATCAGAAAATACATATATGGTCTTAGGAACCAAGACACCACTCCTCTATCCATCTCCAGGCAGGTCCACCTACATGTAGATATGCCCACATAGGAGTACCCAGCATGAAGACTGTTATGCATGCTACACCATGCTTCAAGACAAAATTTCATTGATTTGTCATTAGAAATAAATATTTCACAATATGTAATGACATATTGTCTTTGTGGTTAATCACTATGCTTTAATTATGTTCAATTTATAACAATGAAAATATATCCTGCATATCGGATATTTACATTATGATTCATAACAGTAGCAAAATTACAGTTATGAAGTAGCAACGAAAATAATTTTGTGGTTGGGGGTCACCACAACATGAGGACCTGTATTAAAGGGTCGTGGCGTTAGAAAGGTTGAAAAGCACTGATGTCGACAAGTGGACATCCCCTTTCCTGCTCCCCCCACTACCATGACCTCAGCTCTATGTTACAGATTCAGCTGGACCAGAACATATACACTGATTCAATTAAGAGTTCTCAGCACACGGAATCTAGGACAGATAAACCTCTCAGAAACATGAGGATAGGGAGAAGGTAGGGAGAAGGGGGAAAAAGGGGGAACTGGTCTCAATGATTGACATATAAACACACACCCCTATGGGGATGCACAACAGAAACTTGAGTGAAAGAAGACAGCGGATGGTGTAAGATATAAAAATAATAATACTTTATAATTTATCAAGGGTTCATGAGGGTGGGAGAGGAAGGGAAAAAAGAGGAGCTGATACCAAGGGCTCAAGCAGAAAGAAAATGTTTTGAAAATGATGATGCAACAAATGTACAAATGTGCTTGATACAATTGATGTATGGATTATTATAAGAGCTGTAAGAGCCCCCAATAAAATTATTTATAAAAAAAGAAGAAAGTTTTCCTCTTGTGGCTGGGAACCAGACAAAGATGCCCTTTCTCATCATTCTTATCAACATTGTGCTAAAAGTCCTAGGACAGAGCTAGTAGGCAACAAAGGGAAATGAAAGGCATCCAAATTGGCAAAGAATAAGTAAAAAAATAAGTAAAAATCAGGTGATATGATTTTATACCTAAAAAACCCTAAAGATGCTACAAAAGATAAAAAAATAATTTGGAACTAATTGACAGATTCAGCAACATGGCAGGGTACAAGATCAATGTACAAAAATCAGTTGGATTCATGCATAATATAACTCTCACTGCCATTGAGTCAGTTCCGACTCATAGTGTCCCTACAGGAAATACAACTGCCCCTGTGAGTTTCCAAGACTGGAATTCTTCGTGGGAGTGAAAGACTCACCTTTCTCCTGAGGAGCAGCTGGTAGTTTTGAACTGCTGATCTTGTGGTTAACAGCTCAACTTGTAACCACTACACCAGCAGTGCTCCCAAAAGAGACCTACAGAAATAGAGAAAATAAACCATGTTTGTGGATAGGAAGACGTGACATTGTGAAAATGTGAATAATATCCAAAGCGATCTACAGATATAATGTGATACTGATCCAGATTCCATCAGCATTCTTTAAAGAGATGGAAAAATGAATCAATAACCTCACTAGCCAGGAAAGAAGCTCTGAATAAGCAAACTACTATTAGAAAAGAACAAAACAGAGGATTTCTTATTCCTCAAGCTCAAAACCTACTACAGAGCCATGGTAGTCAAAGCAGCCTGGTACTGATACAATAATAGTTACATAGACCAATAGAGCAGAGTTGAGAAATCAGAAGTAAATCCTTACATGTTTGGTCAGCTAATCTTTGACCAAGGGCTGAAATCCATCACCTGAAGAAACATAGTTGCTTGGGTAAATGGCCCTGGAAAAACAAGACATTCACTTGCGGATAAATGAAACAGGATATCTATTTCTATTTCTCACACTATATACAAAAACAAACTCAAGAGGGATCAAAGACCTAAATGTAAAACCTAAAGCCATAAAAGTCAGCAAGTAAAAATTAAGGGCAAACTTAAGGGCCTTAAACCATGATACAAACACAGCATCAAATATAACTAAAACCCCCACAAACAGCAGAAGACAAATGAGTGGACTGGGACCTCATAAACATTACACATTTATGTGTATCAAAGACGTTATCAAACAAGTTAAGAGAAAACTTACATATGGGGGAAAACGGTTACAGAATATCAGACAAGGGGCTAATCTCTAAAATTTGTAGAAAGCTTCAACGTCTCAAAAGACAAACAATTCAGTTAAAAAAAGTAGAGGACATGAACAGACACTTCACCAACAAACACCAGTGCTCATGATCATTAGCCAGTAGAGACATGCAAAGGAACATAACAGTGAGATGTCATCTAACTCCAGAATTAATAACATTAATGGTGTCATCTGTCAGGGTAGACCAGCCCCTAACACATCATCATGGGTCTGGAAGGCGCAATTGTACAGAGATAATTGGTAAAGATTATAGTAAAGTCATAGAGAGCATGAGAGATAGAAGAGAGATTGAAATAATGGAGTCAGACACATTTCATGGTAGCATGCTCACCTCAGCCTTGCTTGGTAGTCCACTTGGAGAGAGAGAGAGAGAGAGAGAGAGAGATATTTATTGCTAACCAAGGCTTTTATATTCTCTGGGAAGGTGCAAGCCCCCTAATTACAGGTGAAGACATATGTCACAGGAAAGGGTTATGCTATAGGTAATACAGTAATGGGAGGGGAGTGATCTAGGGGTTCATATGCTATTGGAAGAGGAGTGAATAAGGGTATACATGTGACAAGATGAGCAGGCCCTAGATTCATGATGGTGGCCTAACTTTGGATGTCACTGAGCAGGTTTGACCTGTACTCTGGCTCAGTATAGAAACCCTTATCAGTAAGGTGTAAGCCCACCCTACAGCTACCAAACTGATGGCTGCAAGCCTTTAGGGAGAAATAGCCCATTGTTCTTAACAGCAGGGAATGGGCCCCACCTGTGGTGGGCCCAGACAGTAGTCTGGCAACTGACTGCCTTCAGGGAGGTAACTTGACAGTCATTTACCATTAGCTGTAAGCAGTGGCCTAAGTCTAACATATATTTGGGGGAGACAACTTGGGAGAAATCTTTCTGTTTCCCACAGTCATCATTATGGCATTAATTGAACTTAATTAAAAGCATTAGTTAAAATAAAACAAAACAGAAAACAACACACGCTGGCAAGGATATACAGTTACTAGGACCTTTCTATGCTTCCGGTGGAACTGTGAAATTGAGGACCCATTATAGAAAATGCTGTGAGCTTCCTTAAAAAGTTGAACATAGAAATACCATATGGCGATGCTTGGCTACTAAAAGATACAACACCTGAAGTCACTGAAG